TGTTTTCGCGGGAAATAGTTGTAATCAAAGAGTCGTATCTAAACATACGTTTGTTTTCGCGGGAAATACAAATATCAATAAAAATTAAATTAAGACATTATCTAAACTCCTTGGATAGCTAGAGATACGACAGTTTTCGTGGGAGATGAAGAAAATTATTTCCTATACGAATTATAGTCGTAACTGAAAAATGACAAAAATCGAGATACGACCTTTTTCGTTGCGGTAGGCGATATAGAACAAATACAGTGTTATATTATAGTTGCATGGACTCGGCGTTGTTATTAAAATCACTTAATATGTATCGGTATATCGTGTATATTTTATATTTGAACGTAATAATTTATGTATATTATATTATACATGTTTGTAAGACTTTAAACTATAATTTTCAAATCACTTGGACGGTTTCTCCATTTAATGGTTTTTAAAGAAAGGTTTCGTAGACACATATATTATACATAGATATCTACAGTAGTTATTGTAGCACGATTCGAGAACTTCGGATTTAGGCAACTTAAAATGACTTAAGTGTAATGTATATATCGTGTATTGTACATACACATTATACATCGTATTATTACTAAGTATAAGCAGATCGAATATCGCGTTTAAACTAAAGTATGATGTATGTAATCCTCAATCGTAGGTATTTGTATATGAACAACAATATAAAACAAATTTAAAATAATATAAGATAGAAAAGTGTGGATACCGGACTGTTGTTCACTGAATGTCGAGTAGAACTCGTTATTCAGTAAATAACTTTAAAAGATTTTTTTTTTAAATTTGAATTCAGTGACAACCTATAACTGTATATGAAGTAAATAACGATTCTAAACGAAGACTATATCTTTTGAAGTTTATGTTTTGTTTATTTTTTTCTGATTATAAAGAAAAATTACTATTTCAATCTTTCTAAAGTACAAACTAGATTCAACTTGCTATTGAAAACCATCTTCCTTAAAGTGAAAATTGAAGGATTTTATCAATTACTCATCAAGTACGTAGACATAAAAGTACACACATCATTGTAAATGATCGCTCCGCTTAGATTCTAAAACAGGGAAAATCACTTAACCTTTAATATGACAATAAAATTATACACGCCATTTACCATTTTAATAATAACATAAGCAAATAAAAAATTATAAGCTGTTGCGAGTAGTAAGTAATGTAAAATAAATAATTATTTTTTAAAAATAAGACAAAGAAAAGTTCAATCTTTTTATTATACTTGCATGTCGCAACTATGAAAAGTAGTCAATTTGCATCATGATTAGTGAAAGACTTTTAAATGCGGAAATTTCTACGTTTATATAATTTATCCCAATAAAAAATTGGCGGCTACGTGAATGTTTTATAATTTATAAATAATATGATAACATATTAAAGCGTACTAGTTTCATGAAATTTTCAACGATTATAATTTAATTTTTGGCCTTATTTTTTAAAATAGGTAAAATAAAAAAGCGCTTGAAAAAAAAATTGAGATAGATAAAAAAAAACCCTGTAAATACACCAACGTCTGAATACTCAACTATATCGAGAAAACTACATTTTGAAAAAAGTTGTTTTAAATTTCACAATATTTTAAAATAATTTAATTAATTTAGTGTTTTGCTATAAATACTTAAAATAATAATATTTTTTTCCCTACAACTATTGAAAATTGTTATTGACAATCACATATACATTAAAATTGTTTTTTTATGATTATAAAATTATAGTAATAGTTAAAAAAAAAAACTTTACCTAACATACCTAAAGGTAGATGTGTTCATCGAAAATACACCACATAGGTATTTGTTTTAAAAATATTGATTACACAATACAAGAGAAGTATAAAAATTACATACTATAAGGTATATGTATGTCTTTATTCGCAAACGCATACCTATGTTTGATATAATCAATGACATATCAATAGTGTGGCTTGACAGGCAATGAGCCACGGGCGTCTCTAAAGAGCCCATCAAGGAATGTGTGGAATCCAAAAAAACAGAGCATCACAGTTGCCAAATAAAAAATACGATGATATTTAGAAAAAACTGTATGTCTTTGTAAAATTAAATTGCTTTAAGACAAATTTAATTTAATAATTAGAAAAATTACTGACTCATGCTTAGGTATTTTATGTGTAGTTTTTGCTCGTTGACGTCTACATATTATACGATAATAATATTGTAGAACAAATGAAACGTACTCAATATTTAGATCGATAAAACACGTTTTTAATTATTTACAACCTATATGATTCGAGGCGGATATAGAAATTAATTTTGAGGCAGGTATATCCCCCTCATCCCCCTTTCTACCTAACATGTAAAACTTAAGGCCCGCAGGATTATTTTACCAACGGCAATCGAAATTCTAGTTATGCCACTGCAGGATATGATATCTACCTATTCGCGTAAAGCAATATCCATGTCGCAGTTTTATATGATGTATTTTCTCGGACCGGATGCGCGCTTCCGCGTCAATAACTATTGCGCTACGCGATATATTACAACATATATATATATATATAAAGGTATGTGTGTAATATGTATATATTATGTGAATAATGCAAATGCGACATATTATTTCGTATTATATTGTAATAATAATGCGGCGAGTATAATTGCGTAATGTGAACGGGAAAGGTGGCGTATACGGCCGATTGCGGACGTTTAAATATCGAGTGTCACAGATACAGATCGATTAGACTAATGAAACGGTTATATTAATACTGTACGTATGTGTATGCGTGTGCGTTCGACGACGATGTAAAATACTACCGCCTAGTAATGTGTCACGTCATGTCGAAACAATAGAACATAATACGCACAACAATATACATTATATATATATATATATATAATGTGTACTGCAGTTAAATAGTGTTTTATATATTATATACGTATATACATACACACAGGACGTTCTCGATAATAATAAACATTTAATCGGATTATTCACGTTGTCACGAAAATGGCGGTCATTCTGCCATGGTTTTTAACTCGTAACGTATTATTATTATTATTATTATTAATATTATTATTAAATTCTCACTGTACGCAATATTATTATTACGCATAACGTACAGAGCGGCGGCGTTTCTTGACGTTTTCTCAAACATAGCGACCTGCGCCGTCGGATTCCATTTCATCGTTAAAAACGATCTTGTTATAGGTAGATGGAGACGTCGGCCAGCGGATGCTGGGACTACCGGATCAAAATCCTATCTGATTCTGGCACTATTAGCTGCTATTGCAGATCTACGCGCGCGTCTACACCTGCAGCGGTCGTATGCTGCTGACGGTTCGTCGGCGGGCTACTGCGGGACACCGCGTGTAGTGTGATGATGTTTAAATAATAATTATATAAATAGACGAGAGCGCGTTTTCTATAAATTTGTCACGTCACTCGCGTGCGTTCGTGTGCGAGCCGGGCGCCAGGACAATCTAAAACGCGAAGCCGTACGCCCGCCGAGGCGGCGGCGGCAGTTTAAAACGAAGCCTTTGAAGGTATTCACGTGCAAACCGAAGCCTTTCGTCGCCGCGCGCGATTTATGCCATCATATTATATTATAGCATAATAATATAATATACATAATACATCATAACATACGTGTACATTAAATATATATATATATATATATATATATATGCGTGAGCACGGCGGGGTAGACGCGACAGATATATGCGATTTGCGTGCCGATTAAACCGTGGTCGTTCGGATAGTCGAATGTGTGTGTGTGTATGTGTGCGCACGCGCGTGTACGAACAAGAAATTACCGGGTAATCGGTATATGGAATCACCGGTATGTGCGGCAAAAAAAAAAAAAAAATTTCGCCCGACAAACAATAGTACAACTGTCCCCGGGATATTCATACAATAAATATATAGCTGGTACCCCCCGCGCACAATTCGGGAGACGATCGAAAAAAATAATATATTTATCGACCTGTGTTGCACCGTACAATACACGATGTCTGTTCCGGACGAAATTCGCGAGTTAGGTTATGTATATCATTATATAATATTTATCACGTGCATTGTGTGTGTGTATGTGTGTGTGTGTGTGTGTGTGTGTGTGTGTTCATGTGCAGTGCGAGCGAGCATTTGAATGTGTCGCCGCCGCCACCACCGCGGCGTTCGCATAATGTGCGTGTCTGGATCGACCCAAATTACGTCCTATTACTCCGAACGCGCCCGTAGATCGCGCGTATCCTTATAAATGACGATACGACAGAAATTATGTGTCGCCAGCAATATCGTTGCATTTAACGCGGGAGCCCCACACGAGGGTGGAGGTGCGGTGTCGCCGATATAGGTAATACCTTTCTATATACGCACCACTTTTGCCTATCGGATTTCAACCACACGTGTTTACGATTCCATGCGTACACAAAAGTACAACATAACATAATATTTATTAATTATAACATAATACCATTATCGTATTATTATTATTATTATTATTATTATGTACGATAGACGGTAAGTATTGTAGGGCGGCACAAAAAATCCACAATCGACCGACGTTCACAAAGATTTACGTCATCCATATGATTTGAAATCGATAAATTTAATTTCAATAGTTAAACATTCCTTGTGCTTGTCAATTCGATCTCTGATGATGAAAATATATAATTTGACTGTGAAAAAAATTATAGATGAAATAATTTTACTTTATGATGACAAACTCAATCCTTAATCGATCATTGATATTTTGCTATAATCTTTGTTTTTATCAATAATAAAATATGTACAATATATTATTCGAATATAGACTCAGTTAAATTAGAGTTTTTAAATATTATGCATGTCATCTCACATATCTATTATATTTTAATAATTTTATTATACTGTCTTAAAAATATAAATTATAATACAAGTAGATGATAATAATACATTAGTTAAATATAGGCACAATTAAATTAAAGTTTTTAAATAATACTATACAATTTATTGCATATCACATATTTCGATATTTTATACATACCACAACATATAATATATTGTTTAAAAATTAAAATCATTGGTTTCCAAAATTTTTTTGGCGTAAACAGAAATTGTACCTTTTTCTTTTTTTTTGGAGAGGGGGGAGAAGGCTATGCGTAAATCGAGGAACCGGTTTTTGGGGGAAAACGGGCCATGCCCATTTTAATAAAATATACAGTAATACATTTTACAAAAAAACGTTTAATTTTAATTAATGAGATTATTCGTTAATTTTATAAAAATGAAAAACCTATGTAATTATAAATTAAATTTTACATGCATGCGTGTGGCGTGGGTGATCATTAGGGCGAGTAAAGATGTAAAATTGATAAAATTGTAAATTAAATATTTAAATAAACATGTCATCAAATATAAAAACGGTCTGTATTGAATCCTCTAAATAAACGTGCATAATACCTACACTGTAAGTTTGACAATGACAAACGTGGATTACTTGACTTACCTGTAGGACTAATTGCGGCCGACAAAGGCTGCGACCACGCGGAGTACCAGTGTTTGTCTAGGGCGCTTGCCGTAGCGCCTGCGATGCCCACGCCCGGGTACAGCATAAACGGACTCCGGCCTGAAGCTGCTGCGGCCAACGCTCCGAAGTGACTCATCAAGCCCAATCTGCAACAGAAAAATGATCGGTTATTATAGCTGATGTAAGTGTAACGACATCGAAGAAAACAATTTAATATGATAGGTATACAATATATTTTACTACGGTTAGTAATTCAAAACATTAAAAAATGTATGAATTTAATAAAACCCAAACTGCATGTATGAAACTGTAACGATTTACTAAGAAATTTTAGATTTTAAATTCTGATAAAATGAAACGAATTTTTTCAAATAATATTTCTCATGTTTACTTATTCCAAAAACTGAAATGTTTTCAAGTAATACATAATACGGTAATGATAAAAATCTGAATCTGTTTTATTATCGCTTTTCTTAAATAAAATTATAAATAGGTATATTACACATAAGTCAGTTTCGTAAATCGGTAATGCGGCATAAATTTAAGACAATGGTATTAATAATATTTATTTTTGGCATTTAATTTATAAAAATAAAACAATGTTACGGGATTGGCTTAAAAACCTACACAATTTTATGTAACACCGGCGTTCAATTTAATAATTATTATTTTCCCTGAAAAACACGTAAGCTCTAAAAAGAACAATTCGCGTATTTATAAAAGTATATTATGTTTAAAAATATATGTGGTTTGTTTTAAGGTTTTTTACTATGCTTCCATTTTAAGCTGCTATTCTCGGTAAGAATATTAAGAGTTTCGAATAATTCTTCGCTTTCAGGCTTTAAGACGCATTTAAAATTTATATTAAACACTTAACCAGTCGTTTCACTTGTTTAATACTAATACGGCTTTCGACGAACAGACAAGCCATATTCTTCGTCGGGCGTTTTGCAGCAAATAATAATAGAATGGGGGAGAAGTTCATCTTGTTATTCAGACCTTGTATGGATTAACTATTTATGTGCTTTTTAACAAAATGTACACATCCAATAGTGTATTTAACGTAAGTACTACATACACATACATATTTAAGTTGCGATGAGACGTATACACACGTGTATTGTAAAAAGTATTACTATTGCGATAAAGTAAACAAAGAGAGACAAATACGACCGACATACTATTTTATAAAAAACTATCTATTACGATTTACGGTAGATATATGCACGGTTTAACGTATATTATTGCTATTAGTACGTCGAATGTTTCTAGTAAACATATTGTTTTTCATCACTGTTTATATATTCTTCGTTAACTGTATTATATTATTCAATTATTGGCATACTAACATATATCATAGTATATACTATAGATACGTCCTACACAATGCATATTCAGCATAAATAATAATAGTGTGTTATTATGACTGTATAGTCATGTATGTGTGTATATTGCGATAGATAAGTGTACAAACGACGTCTTCTCTTGCAAGATCTACAACGCTGCTCATCATCCACGCCGTGTACAGGAATAATAATGTTATTATTATTATTATCATCATCGTACCCGGAAGAACATTATACGAACCACCATTGCTATAATATTATATGGCGCCGTGTGTGCGCGTGTTTGTTGAAACTTTAAGCTAAACAGTTTTGACTTGGGTAAAGTTTAGTTTAAAATTAATATTTAATCGTCCGATAATGGCGCTGGCGCGGGCGTAACAAACTTTACTCGTCGCGACCGTGGGAGGCGGAGGCGGTGTGTGCCGTAAACAGTGCGCCGTTAAAAGCATTTAAACAGTCTTCGCTCTTGTAAATATAAATATATATATATACATATATACGTGTAAAATCATTTTATGTGCGTGCGTGCATGCGTGCGTGTGTGTGTGTGTGTGTGCGTGTGTGTGTGTGTGTGTGTGTTTGTGCGAATGCACATAACGCGCTTTGGCCCCGCCAAACCCTTCTCCGAGACACACCCTCCTCCGACGGTTTTCGCCTCGCCATTTTCACCGCCGGAGATGACGACGATATCCCAACGGCGGTGCGGTGGTGGCATCGCTCGTTATATTTTTATTACCAGCTACTTTATTATGACTCTGCGCGGATTCGTCGAGGGGAAATATCGGAATGCCGAGAAATTCGCTAGTTGAGTGTAGGAAAACGGCAAAAAAAAAAAATAAATAAATAAAATAATAAACATTTATAATATGCGGTCGGTTTGACTGCTGGAACGTGCGCTCGACGGTCGTTTTATTCTTCCCGAGAAAATCGTTGAGTGGTCCTCGTGAGGTTTCCCGGGACACGAGAGTCTCGATAGTTAATTCCGTCACCGGTTTGAAAAAACTAAACAAAGGCATCGAACTTTTCGAAATCAAGACACCTACTGGTCTTCTGGAACAAGTGTTACTGGAAGATTTTTTGAGATCTGAGGGTTTTTCGAGTGAAAATTAAGTTTTTTTTTTTCAGGAGGCTGAAGAACACATAACACTTGATAAATAAAGTAAATCGTCGTACAAAATCTATAGTTGACACCTATTCGATTATTATAGCTATTAGGTATATAATGTCGGACAGGGTTATATATATTGATCAGTCGTATTAAACATATATGTCTATTTATTTTTACTTGATTAAATTAACGTGCGTAATGTTATTTATGCACATTATATTATAATAGCTGAGTAATATCTAACCTATGTGCAATTAATTCGTTTACTGTGCGTTTTATATTCCGTTTTAAATCTATTAGACGTTATAATTGTACACACAAAAACCATTAATCGTGATAATAGCTAAAGCATAATTATTCAATCGTTGGGTAAATGGGGATTACTTATGCAGTATTTGAAGCGATTTTGAAATTACCAAGACTATATTATATAAATTCAACATTTTTATCGAATTATAATATTATAATTTTGAAACTTAATACGCAGTATGATATAATTTGTAGGAATTTAATTGATATAATATTAGTATACCTATTTGTTGTAGTAGTGAAAAAATTAATATTTCGTTGAAAATTTGAAACATTTTTAAAACAGTAATAAAAATTATATTTACTTTTGAATTTATTATGAAACGCGTAATTATTCGGGTTGAATAACCATCGTGTACGACGGTTTTTATTATTAATGTATGAGTATCTATACCGACCAGGATGTATAATATATTTATAACCATTAATATCTATATGCATTATGTACACACTATAAAACGTTACGTATTTGCGTGAGTGTAATATATTGTATACATTTAAACGTTAAAGTACGTATTTATGTGTGTGCGTTAAAATTTAAAGTTATATTACGGTTACGCGGGTTTTAATACAGTATAATATATATATAAAGTACATGCTCGTAAATGCGTTTTTTTTTAAAGCGTGCACATACAATTATTTTAATCCATTTTACTGATGCCTTATTCTGTATTCTGGTTATATCAATTTGTTAAAATAAATTCGGCAGAATATTTAAATTGAAAACAAAAGTGTGACAAAACAATAACATAGGTACAATTTTTTCGGTCAGTCGTATTTCAGTATAATATCAGATATATTTACGTAAAATGTAAATATGTGATAGAATATAATATATATTATAAGTAAAAGTAACAATAACTAACATAATAATGTTATGTATAGATTGTATATTTGTTTTAACTGAAGTCTTTTTTTTTTAACGACACGTAATTATTTAATTATAAACAATAATAATATTTCGACATAATGCTACAATATTATTACAGCATTAATAATATTGACATAACCACTGTCGATAATAACATTATCAATACCGAATTGATGGATTTTTTCTTTAGTCAATTGAAATGTGCGTAAGGTTAGGTTTCCAATCGCAGAGCTTTGCTAGGGTTGCTCACACTCGCCGTGTCCCTTGAACAAATATTATAGGCACATAATATGATATGCATTTATCGCCGTCTGTATAACGTGCATGCTTGTGCATCGCTAGCGTGTATAATATTATATACATTCACTCAATCGATACTTTCCCGTAGAACGGACGACGGACGTGGAAAACAAAACGATACGTCGTCGTCTAAGTGCGTCGCAAATATGCGCCTACACCGATCGGTGATACCCGATTAAGCACGGTCGTTATCGGCCAACCTTTTAGACGATACGATTGAGCGAGATAAAAAAAAAAAAATTGTGTACAACGTTGTCAGATTTTCACTAGTATCTACGTATGTATTGTGTAGATATTACCAATAGGTAATTACTAGGGCAGAAGACTTGTAGCTCTAAAAAAATCACCTGATATGCACTTAAATATATAAAATATGCATTTTAAAATGAATATTTTTGGAGGGTGTCAGTTAAAATCGCGAAATATTTTAACAGTGAAAACACTAATAGCGAAAAGTAAAAATTATATTACTTTTATTTTTTAAACCATAGGTATAAATTAAAACTATCATCTCTGCAGTTATATAAAATAAATTCAAGTTCATTAAAAAAAATTAAATATAAAATAATACAGATAGGGCAACGGACGACACAGTAATGGTTAAGTTCAATTGATTCACATATACTTCCCTGTCAGACATTTCCCCGTACCTACTTCCCCATAAGACATTTCCCTGTCCAATACGAAGTAACTTTCTGTCATGCCGGTGACTTCGACATCACCAAAATATTGTCCGATATAGTGGCCATTGACTCTATATTAGGCGAAGTAGGGCTAGATATCTTGTACGTAATCTTTACGGCCTTATCATAAACCAACTGACGTACATATTATGTGATAAAAATCCAATAAGGGATTTTTTCTTATAAACATTTACATTCAAATGTATCTTATTTTTTAATAATAATATTCTATGATACAAAATGGCAACGTCACACGTAATTTCGTGCTCAATTGTGTTGTTTTTGGAGTTTTTTTGGATTCCTATCGTTTGATTCCAACCATGCTCAATCGGGTTGTAAAAAAGGTCAATCGTGCTCAGTCGGGTTCCAGCCACACCGATGACCTGCAGGCTGCAGTCATAAATCACACGAATAATGACATTTTACGCGATACGATTTAACGGGCGGACACGATATTAATAATAATATCATATTATAGTATACCATAATAATAATAATATTATATACCATACTGCGACGTACCTACACC